GTTTTGGGACCCTCCAGCACATCGTCCCTTTCCAGGCCCTACAGTGTCTTTAATCAATATTGCCACTCTCCCTCCTCCTTGTTTCCCTTCCCTGTCCCTCCTGAGTACATTGTAACCAGGAATATTCAGCTCCCATTCCTGCCCGTGTTTGACTCAGATCTCCGTTATTGCCACTACATCATAACCCCATGTGGCAACTTGAGCCGCAGCTCACCAATATTATTTGTCACACTCCATGCATTTACACACATGCACTCTCAGACCAACCGAGTCTGTTCTGCATTTCTCCATTGTCTAATCCCTCCTTTTTCCGCACTATTTATTGCATTGTTCGTCTCTTCCAGCCCTCTATGTAACTTGTTTGTCCTCTCTGATGCCACATCCTGATTTCCTTCCCCCTCAAAATTAGTTTAAACCCTTCCCCACAGCACGAGTTAACCTTCGTGCGAGGACATTGGTCCCAGCCCTATTCAGGTGTAACCCATCCACCTTGTACAGATCCCATCTACCCCAGAACTGGTCCCAATGATCCACAAACCTGAACCCCATTTCTCCAGCCATGTGTTTGTTCCTGTTGTTTTGATACCCATTTGCATGAATCATTGGGAATAATCCAGAGATCACCACCTTTCAAGTCCTAATCTTTAACTTTTTCCCGAGCTTCTGATACTTTCCCTGTAGGATTTCAGTCTTTTTATTCCCCATGTCATGGATCCCAACCTGGACCATGACTGCTGGCTGTTCCCCTCCCCCCGGTAGAAGGGGAACCAATTCCATGAAGTCTTCAACCCTCGCACCAGGGAGGCAACACACCATGCGAGACTCACATCTGCAATTGCAGAAACGTCTGTTTATCCCTTTGACTGTTGTGTCCCCAATGACAATGGCAGTAACACTCTTCCCTGTGTCCCCTTGTGCATTGGTTTGCTTTTGACTCCCCTCCCCACAGAGGTGTCATCACCCTCACCAGTATTCAATACAGAGAACTTGTTTGGGAGTGCCACACTCTCAGGGGATTGCTGCCCTGCAGTGCATCTCTGCTGTACTGGTCATACTGTGCTGTGTCATACCGTACTCTGCTGTTCTGCCCTGTGTTGTCCCGGGCTGTGCAGGGCAGTGCTGTACGTTTCACCCACAAAATATACAGTCAATCCACTTTACAGTACATTCTGGGAAACACTTTGAGATCAGGCTATGACAAATACAAGGATTATTATTATTACTACCTTGTGGCTGCGGTGACGCTGTTCATGGATCCAATGGCAGCGGCAATGGTGCTGAGTGCTGGGCTGTGGGCAGGGCTGTGGGGGCAGTGCTGGGCTCCTGGGCTGTAGCCACTGCTCTCCCCCCCCTCCAGCACTGTGTAGGCAGCCCCCAGCCTCCGCTGTAAGCTACGCACGGTACCCAGGTACCAGCTGACAGCCGCCGGGTTACTGACGTTCAGCTTCACCACCAGCTTCCCCTTCCTCTTCATCAGCACCGGAGCCTGCCACCCACACACGTATGTCACCCACCACCCCGTCCGTCACTGCAATACCCCGTCACCCCAATATACGCCGGTCACACCCCAATACACACCAGTTACAATAACGACATTACATCTGCAAAGTGCCTTTCACATGGGGAGGACGTGCCAAGGCGTTGAGCAGTTGGGGATCAGGGCCCAAGGGTGGGTGTGGGGGGGGGTCAGGGTTGGGATGAGGGAGGGCAGAGCGGGTAGGAGGGCGCCTGGAGGCATAGTTGAAAAGGAGGGTCTTGAGTCGTGCCTTGAAGGAGGCAAGAGAGGGAGCGAGGCCAAGGGATTGTGGAATGGAGTTCCAAAGAGTGTGGGCAGAGAGGCTGAAAGCCCGGCCCCGATGGTGGGGCAGATCGGGCGGGAGACCTGGAGAGGGCCGGAGCCTGCTGAGCAGAGGGAGTGGACAGGAATGATAGGGGATCGGCAGGTCAGAGAGGTAGGAGGGGGCAAGGCTGTGGAGGGTCTTGAACGTGAGGACGAGGATTTTGAATTCTATCCCCTGAGGGATGGGGAGCCAGGCGAGGGTGGGGGTGATGGGGTCACAGAGCCTGGTGCGGGAGAGAACATGAGCTGCAGAGTTCTGGATGATCTGCAGCTGTGGAGGGAAGAGTTGGGGAGGTCGACAAGGAGGGAGTTTCCGTAGTAGAGCCTCGGTGTAGTGAAGGCGTGTATGAGGGTCTCGGGGGCCTGCAGTGTGAGACAGTAACGGAGCCGGGCGATGTTGCGGAGGTGGAGAAGGCAGAGCGGGTCATGGCGCAGATATGGGGGAGAAAGAACAGTTGAGGTTCCTGACTGGCTTGTGACATGGAGTGTGCAAACATGGATGCTGATGCTGCCAGTGCCTGTACACCCCAACACACGCCAGATACACCCTGGTACATGCCAGTGACACACGGTTCTCTGGCTGCTGGTCGGCCAGTGCTGTCAGGATGACTAACGAGCAGAATGGAAGCCAGACTCACTGCGGTGCCGGGGGCCGGGGAGCAGACAGAGAGCCAGAGCCCCTCGAGTCCCTCCCGCAGCGAGGATAAGAACTGAGCTGAGTCAATGCTGCTGTACAGAGAAACAGTGATGGCCACACCCAGGCCCTGCCACAGCAATGTCCCCTTCCTCCGGCGCCACTGCCGAGACAGCTCCTACACAGCCAGCCAGAGAGAGAGAGAAAGAGAGAGAGCGAGTGAGAGAGCGAGGGAGTGTGTCAGAGTGAGAGAGAGAGTGAGTGTGAGAGCGGGAATGTATGAGAAAGAGTGAGTGAGAAAGTGTGTGTGATTGAGAGAGCCACGGACCTGTGCTGAGCGCAGTGTCGCGCTCTCGCTGAGCTCCAGCACACCCTCAGGCATCTTGTGCTTCTTCAGTTTATTGATAAACGATCTCAGATCTCGCTTCAGTTCATCGGTGCTGTCTGTGGCTGGCGGCCATCGCCACACAGGGCGTCTGGGAGCGGAGTGAGAGGTGAGAACAGGAAGCTCAGAGTCTCACAGGGATGGAGGGGAGGGGAGGGCAGTGGACAGTGAGGGAACACAATACAACACAAATTTACAACTCATTCCACCTTTCTGCTTACCCCAGCAGCGCTGTGTGGGGGGCTGTGGCTGGCGCCCTGGCCAGCAGTGAGCCTACGTCCTGGTGAACAGAACGGATGTTGTGACTGACACACACGGTGTAACGCAGGGCACTCAGTGCCACGTCGGGCCGGGGCTCCAGGCAGAAGCGTTTCTCCCGCTCAATCAACAGATGTAGTGGCAAGTCACCGTCCAGCAGGACTGCCACACCTGGCGGCACAGAGACAGGCGTGTGAGCACAGCGCAGAGACAGGCGTGTGAGCACAGTGGAGAGACAGGCGTGTGAGCACAACAAAGACACGCTTTTGGGCACTAACACAGCACATGTGGGCACCACATTCTGCTGGTTACATTATAAACCGATGATTCACCTCAAAGCAGCTACAATGTTTGTGTAATAAGCAGTCACTACACTTCATAGAATCATAGAATCATACAGCACAGAAAGAGGCCATTCCGCCCATTGCGTCTGTCCTGGCTTCTAAAAGAGCTTCCAACTCAATCCCACTGGCCGCTTTCTCTCCATAGCCCTAGAATCCTGTCCTCCCCAAATATCCATCTACTTCTCTCTTAAAAGTTGTTATTAAAATGGCTTCCAGTACCCTTTAAGGTAATACATTCCAGATCCAGATAACTCACTGGGTGAAATTTTTTTTTTCCATCCTTGTAAGCCTCCTTTGCACCCTCTCCAATCCCCTAACATCTTTCCTAAAGTGCGGTGCCCAGAACTGAACAGTATCCAACAGAGGCCTAACCAGAATTTTATAAATATTCAACATAACCTCCAGACTTTTGAATTCTATGCCCCTATTTATAAAATATAGTATTTTTCAACAGCTTTATTACCTGTCCTGCCAACTTCAGAGATTTGCTTATGTGGACCCCCAGGTCTCTCTGTTCCTTCACCCCCTTTAAGATTGTACCATCAGCCTATATTGCCTCTCCCCATTCTTCCTACCAAAATGCAACACCACATTTCTCCACATTAAATCTCATCTGACAATGTTTCTGCCCATTTTACTAATCTGTCTAAGTCCTCTTTGAGTCTGGTGCTGTCCTCCTCACCATTAACTACCTTTCTGAGCTTAGTATCGTCTACAAATTTGGAAATTGTGCTCTCTATATCCAGGTCCAGATCATTAATATAGATCAGAAAGACCATTGGTCCCAATACCAACCCCTGAGGGACACCACTACACACCTCCCTCCAGTCAGAAAAGCAACTGCTTACTACCACTCTCTGCTTTCTGTCTCCGAGCCACTTCTGGATCCATGTTGCCACTGTCCGTTTATACCGTGGGCTTCTATTTTGTTTATAAGTCTCTCATGTGGCACTTTGTCAAATGCCTTTTGAAAATCTAGATAAATTATGTCTTCTGCACTACCTTCATCCACCCTCTCAGTCACTTCATAAAAAATTCTATGAGGTTTGTCAGACACGATCTGCCTTTAACAAATCCACTTGACAGGAATTCCTGAGAAGCTGTGAGATCTTCCCACCTGTAACAACACAACTTGTTTCTGACTTTGCCTGACACTCGGCAGTGAGACCAGCCGGGATATCCGCTCACCTGTCGATCCCAGGAAATACCCCTCCAGCACTGACCCAAACCCACTGGGCTGCTCCTGCAGGTCGCTGATCAGGAAGGGCTGGGACGAGGCGCTGGCACGGTTGATGGGCCAGTGCTGGGAGCGCAGGCTCGCTCCCCCAAACCACGAGACATTCACCATGGAGAAGCAATCCTGAAACACAAGCTGCCATTAGCCGTTGCCCAGCCTGCGCTCTGTCCCTGGCCACCACCACTTGCTGCTCTCGGACTGTCTTGAGTCTTGTACAGAGAACATGGTCATTGAACAATCCAGGCTGATGCTCCCGCGCTGTGCTGGGGGAGGACTGCACTGTCAGAGGTGCCGACCTTCACGAGACATTAAACCAATGTGATCCGCAGACATGGGGACAACTTCCACATCTATGCGAATGACACCCAAATCTACTTCTCTCTCTGGCTGCGCCTCCCAGTTGCTGACATCCTGTTAGCTTGTTTGACGGACATCAAGGCCTGGATAAGCGCAAATTTCCTGCAGCTGAGTGCAAGACAGAAGCCATACTCTTTGGCTCTGGTCAATGTCTTCTCTCCTGCGGGTCCGAACTCCTCAACCTCCCCGGCTCTCCCTCAGGCTCACTGAGCCTGTGCCCAATTTAGGCGTCAGCTTTCCTTTCTACCCCATAACCGCTCCCTGATCAGGAATGCTTTTTTCCACCTCCACCACAATGCCCACCTCCATCCGTATCTCATACCCACAGCAGCCGAAATCCTCGTCCACACCTTTGTCACATCCCGGCTGGACTTTTCCATTGCCCTCCTCGCTGGTCTCCCCAGCTCCACCATACGCAAAATACAATGAATTCAGAACTCCGCTGTCTGGATTCTCATGCACAAGACTCCATATCCCCCATCACACACGTCCGAGCCAGGCTGCACTGGCTCCCAATCACCGAGTGGGGGGGGCGGGTGGGGGGGGTGGGGAGGGGGGAGAGGATTGTCCTCAGAAACACAGTTGCTGTAGTTGAGCCCCAAACAGTGTAAGAGACTGAGCAGCAGCTTTATGTCCTGTGGAATGTTGATCACGGCTAAATCTCCGCAGCAGCGATCAACACTTACATCAGGAAATAACATCAAATGCTGTTGGCATGAGCTCCATAATCCAACCGCATCCCTCAGCCATGGCTCTGGGGGTTACCAGGGAGTCACTGAGCAGTCAGTGCTCACAGCCCTGACCTCTGGCCAAAGCTTGAACATGTGATTCAGGACAGGATGGAGTTGAGCTGTGGTGCCTGCCCAGCCGGGACAGAGCCAAAGCGGGCGCTAATATGATAATAAATAATAATCCATGTATTTGATATAGCACTTTTCAGGTCTTCTAGACATCTCAAAGCGCTTCACAGGGTATACTGTAAAGTGAATTGACTGTATATTTGTGCACGAAATGTGGCAGCAATTGTGCACAGCAGGATCCCACAAACAGTTATGACTGACCAAATTTTTTTTTTTTTTCTTGAGGGATTATTATCAGGCGTGTGGAGTAAGGAAACTTGTCAAAGGTTTCGCCCTGCCGGGAATCGAACCCAGGTCTCTCGCTTGTGCTACTGGACTCCACTAAGAGGATCGGTGACCAACTTACCAGCTCCACAACAGATTTTCTCAAAAACCCAATCCTGCAGCTCAGACCGACCTTGTGATGGATTGAGATCATTAATCAGTCACAAGAACCTGAACAGTGTCTACACACATCAACTGGTTTGAAATCTTTAGCACTCTCTCTGTTCCTCACCACATTCTCTCCACGTGAGTTTCCTGGGGAGGCCTTCCCCATTTAACCGCTGCACCAGGGGGCCCTCACGCACACAGCTACCCCAGGGGCCCTTCATACACAGTGCACCAGGGGCCCCTCACGCACACAGCTACACCAGGGGCCCCTCACGCACACAGCTACACCAGGGGCCCCTCACGCACACAGCTACCCCAGAGGCCCTTCATACACAGTGCACCAGGGGCCCCTCACGCACACAGCTACACCAGGGGCCCTTCATACACAGTGCACCAGGGGCCCCTCACGCACACAGCTACACCAGGGGCCTTTCATACACAGTGCACCAGGGGCCCCTCACGCACACAGCTACACCAAGGGGCCCTCACGCACACAGCTACACCAGGGGCCCTTCATACACAGTGCACCAGGGGCCCCTCACGCACACAGCTACACCAAGGGGCCCTCACGCACACAGCTACACCAGGGGCCCCTCACGCACACAGCTACACCAGGGGCCCTTCATACACAGTGCACCAGGGGCCCCTCACGCACACAGCTACACCAGGGGCCCCTCACGCACACAGCTACACCAAGGGGCACTCACGCACACAGCTACAGCAGGGGCCCCTCACGCACACAGCTACCCCAGGGGCCCTTCATACACAGTGCACCAGGGGCCCCTCACGCACACAGCTACACCAGGGGCCCCTCACGCACACAGCTACACCAGGGGCCCCTCACGCACACAGCTACACCAGGGGCCCCTCACGCACACAGCTACACCAGGGGCCCCTCACGCACACAGCTACACCAGGGGCCCCTCACGCACACAGCTACCCCAGAGGCCCTTCATACACAGTGCACCAGGGGCCCCTCACGCACACAGCTACACCAGGGCCCTTCATACACAGTGCACCAGGGGCCCCTCACGCACACAGCTACACCAGGGGCCCTTCATACACAGTGCACCAGGGGCCCCTCACGCACACAGCTACACCAGGGGCCTTTCATACACAGTGCACCAGGGGCCCCTCACGCACACAGCTACACCAAGGGGCCCTCACGCACACAGCTACACCAGGGGCCCTTCATACACAGTGCACCAGGGGCCCCTCACGCACACAGCTACACCAGGGGCCCTTCATACACAGTGCACCAGGGGCCCCTCACGCACACAGCTACACCAAGGGGCACTCACGCACACAGCTACACCAGGGGCCCCTCACGCACACAGCTACACCAGGGGGCCCTCACGCACACAGCTACACCAGGGGCCCTTCATACACAGTGCACCAGGGGCCCCTCACGCACACAGCTACACCAAGGGGCCCTCACGCACACAGCTACACCAGGGGCCCCTCACGCACACAGCTACCCCAGGGGCCCTTCATACACAGTGCACCAGGGGCCCCTCACGCACACAGCTGCACCAGGGGCCCCTCACGCACACAGCTACACCAGGGGCCCCTCACGCACACAGCTACACCAGGGGGCCCTCACGCACACAGCTACACCAGGGGCCCCTCACGCACACAGCTGCACCAGGGACCCCTCACGCACACAGCTGCACCAGGGGCCCCTCACGCATACAGCTGCACCAGGGGCTCCTCATGCACACAGTGCACCAGGGGCCCCTCCACACACAGCAGCACCAGGGACCCCTCACGCACACAGCTGCACCAGGGGCCCCTCATGCATACAGCTGCACCAGGGGCCCCTCATGCACACAATGCACCAGGGGCCCCTCACATACACAGCTGTACCAGGGGCCCCTCACGCACACAGCTGCACCAGGGGCCCCTCACACACACAGCTGCACCAGGGGCACCTCACACGCACAGTTGCACCAGGGGCCCCTCACACACACAGCTGCACCAGGGGCCCCTCACACACACAGCTGCACCAGGGGCCCCTCACACACACAGCAGCACCAGGGGCCCCTCACACACACAGCAGCACCAGGGGCCCCTCACACGCACAGCTGCACCAGGGGCCCCTGTCTATGTTGCACGGAGATGTTGAAGGTTCCTCTCTCTCTCTGCCCCCCCTCCCCACCCAGGTACCAGGCTACTGTAAGCTGCCGTTTGTTGCTGACTATTTTACAATGTTTGCGTGTTAAAGGGCCGGGTCTTCCCTCAGCTCGATGGCTCACTCACACCATAGGTGTGACACCTCAGGTCTGGGACCCTGCAAGTCAGTGAGCCAGGGTCTCACGTGGACAACAAAGGTCCTACCACCCCAAACAAACTTTCTCCTTTCACATTCAATAATATAATCCTTGCATTTGACACAGCGCTTTTCACGTCTTCTCGACGTCTCAAAGCGCTTCACAGAATAGACAGTCAAGTGAATTGACCGTATACTTGTGGGCGAAACGTGGCAACTAATTGCGCACAGCAATGTCCCACAAACAGTCGTGGGTTGAAAATACCAATTTATTATTGTTTTGTTTGGAGGGATTATTGATTATTATTCAGCGTGCGGAGCGAGGACACTTGCCCCAGGTTCCGCCCTGACTGGAGAGGGACCCAGGCGGCGGGTTTGCAAGGCGAGTGCTCTAACCCCTGAGCTCCAGGACTCCACTGGAGGAGAGACTCCGATACGCAGTCTCCAGTCACTGACTTCCTGACTGTTGGTGTGGGACAGTCACTACACTGTGGAGACCTCGGCCTGGGGTCAGTGAGGAGGTGCTGGTTACCTGAATGCGCGCCCGGCAGTGTCGCGGTGTCCAGGCCACACGGTAACAGTCCGTGTTGGCCGCGGAGCGGAGGTGGGAGGAGATGTGGAGCTCAGCGCCTTCCCAGTGGGAGCAGAAGCGGCTCCTGTTGGAGGCGCACAGGTCCCTGGCCATGGGGGGGGAGGGGCCCCCGACCCCCAGCTCCAGCTCAGCCACCAGCCGCCCCTCCAGCGCCTGGAGCCACAGTGAGTGGGAGCCGGGCCGCCAGCTCAGGCCGCTGGAGCCGCCGCGGAGCAGCCAGCGCCTGGCGGCCACCTCCCCCGGCTGCCCCCGCCGGCCCGGCTGCTCGGCCAACTGCCAGTACAGCACCGCGCTGGTCATCAGGAACAGCAGCGCGACCCCCACACACGCCGCCGCGCCTCTCCACGTCTCCTTCATCTCCTTCAGCCCCGGCTCCAGGGCCGCCTCGGGGAGGGCGCTGCCGTTCTTGCCGCGGCTGCGAGGCATCGCCCCCCGGCACTGGGACTGGCACCGGTAGCGCCGCTCTGGCTGCAGGGCTGGTGCTGGGGGAGGGCGGTGAGCAGCAGCTCTCTGGCCGGTCCCCGGAGCCTCCCCCACCCTCTCTCCTCCCCTTCTCTCTCCGCCCCATCGCCCACACGTGTTGGGATGGGAGTGCTGAAGGTCAGCACTTACTGACCGACTCTCTTTGGGGGAGCGATCAGCAGCGTCTCCCCCCCCCCCCCCCAGGGCCTGGGTTGGCTGTACGGTGACATGGGCGGCACTGGAATATAATCAAACCGTTACTCTGTGATGGGCTGCAGTCCACTCCCTGAGCCAAGTGGGTCCATAGTCTTCTAGGGCACTGCTGAGGACAGCCCGGCCCGGCCCGGCCCGGCCCACTGGCAGGACCTGGACTGGTCTCAGTCACTGGATGTAGGGAATCCTCCCACTCAGCTCCTGCAGCCAAAGCCCTTGGGTAAGGTGGTCCTCGCTGGACAAGCAACAGCAACAACAAATTACATTTGTATAGCATCGGGAAAGTTTGCCAGACAGTGCTATCAATGGCAAGTTATGTGCTGGTTAGATTCCAGCAGTTACCCCAACGCACACTATGCGATCCCCCAGCCTCGGCTCCTGCCAATCGGTGTCTAATACTCTTAGGTAAGCAGGATCCGTCCCTCCATCAGGATCCGTCCCTCCATCAGGATCCGTCCCTCCATCAGGATCCGTCCCTCCATCAGGATGCGTCCCTCCATCAGGATCCGTCCCTCCATCAGGATCCGTCCCTCCATCAGGATCCGTCCCTCCATCAGGATGCGTCCCTCCATCAGGATGCGTCCCTCCATCAGGATGCGTCCCTCCATCAGGATGCATCCCTCCATGGAGAAATTGCGCATTCCATTCCAGTGGAACGGTTATCTCTGGAATTTCCATGCGTAGGTGAGATGCATGGAATTCTCAGTTTGGTTTGGATACTCTTTTAACACAGTGATGGGTTTCCGCATGTGTCAGTCACCCGGCTGACCCCCAAAAACACTTAATATCCCCTCTGTATGTATCTCTCTCCCTGTCTGTATTTCTATCCTGTTATCGGTTTGAAAGTGATTGACACTTCAGGGCATGCTGGGTTCTGGACACCCCTCCTACCCACACTTTTCTTGAAAGAATCGCCGAACATAGATATTTTATGAAATAAAAACAGAGGTCGCTGGGAACACACAGGAGGTCAGGCAGCATCTATGGATAGAAGAAAATTAGTTATTCTTTCAGGTTGATGATCATGGGTCATTCACACCTATGCATTGGACAACAGTGTAAGTTATAACATAAAATATAAAACAGAAGTGTCAGGGAACACTCAGCAGGTCAGGCAGCATCTATGGAGAGAGGAAAGTGAGTTAACGTTTCAGGTCGCTGACGAAAAGTCGTCAACCCGAAACGTTAGATCCCCTCTCCACAGATACTGCCTGACCTGCTGAGTGTTCCCAGACACTTCTGTTTTTATTTCAGATTTCCAGCTTCTGCAGTGCTTCGCCTTTTATTGATATATTATGGTTGGCGAGCCGAATGCGGCCCGTGGGCCGCCAATTGGCCCAGTCTGCCGCAGGGTATTGCAGTGCCGGGGACAGGGGGGCGGAGCCTTCACGCGAGTTTCTCCGGGTACTGCATGACGTCGGCGCGCAACGAGAGCACGCAGTTACGTGATGACGTAGAGAATTTTCCAGTTGGATCCGGCGCCGCCCGAGCGGCAGAGAGAGAGAGACCCGGGGCCGCCCGAGAGAGAGAGAGACCCGGGGCCGCCCGAGAGAGAGAGAGAGACCCGGGGCCGCCCGAGAGAGAGAGAGACCCGGGGCCGCCCGAGAGAGAGAGAGAGACCCGGGGCCGCCCGAGAGAGAGAGACCCGGGGCCGCCCGAGAGAGAGAGAGACCCGGGGCCGCCCGAGAGAGAGAGAGACCCGGGGCCGCCCGAGAGAGAGAGACCCGGGGCCGCCCGAGAGAGAGAGAGACCCGGGGCCGCCCGAGAGAGAGAGAGACCCGGGGCCGCCCGAGAGAGAGAGAGACCCGGGGCCGCCCGAGAGAGAGAGATCCGGGGCCGCCCGAGAGAGAGAGAGACCCGGGGCCGCCCGAGAGAGAGAGACCCGGGGGCCGCCCGAGAGAGAGAGACCCGGGGCCGCCCGAGAGAGAGGGGAAGGGGAGGCCCGAGGCGGGAGGGGAGGGGGAGGCCCGAGGCGGAGGGGGAGGCCCGAGGCGGGAGGGGAGGGGGAGGCCCGAGGCGGGAGGGGAGGGGGAGGCCCGAGGCGGGAGGGGAGGGGGAGGGGGTCTGAGGCCCGAGGTGGGGGCGACTCCCTATGGGGAAGAAGACCCGGATGACGGGACAGCAGAACCGGCGGCGGCCGATCCTCCAACTCCACCCCGAGCCCCGGAGAGAGGAAGGCGGCTCGGGCTCGGAGGCCGAGGGTGAGGCGGGGGGTGGGAGTCCGGGGGGTGTGGGGGGGAGCCGGTGTGTGGGGGGGAGCCGGTGGGGGGGGCCCGAGGGGTGTGTGGGTGGGGGGGGGGGCCCGAGGGGTGTGTGGGGGCCCGGGGGTGTGTGGGGGGGGGGGGCCTGGGGGGTGTGTGGGGGGGGTGTGTGGGGGGGGGCCTGGGGGGTGTGTGCGGGGGGGGGGGGGGGGGGGGGGGTGGGGGGGGCCGAGGGGTGTGTGGGGGCCCGGAGGGGTGTGTGGGGGGTGGGGGGGGCCTGGGGGGGTGGTGGGGGGGGAGTTCACTGATTATGATAGTAATACTTGTATCTGATGCAGCGCCTTATCGTGTAATTGAGGCGTCTCAATGCGCTTCACAGAATATTCTCCTAAGTGTAGTGACTACTTTTTGGGCTACAATTACAGCAGTGACCCGATTATTATTATCATTTTTGAGTAATTATTATTCCCGGAAATGCGATCTGCCAATCCACTAACCCCCGGGTTCCTGCTGGATAATAAACAGAGGGGTGTGGAGTAATGTTCGTCCCTCCCCGGGAATCAAACCGCTTGTGAGGCGAGTGCCCGGACCAATGTGCCGCAGGACTCCCTGGACACTTCCTGTAATGGTGACTGTGCGCCTCGCACGGCCAGACTCGCTCGCTCGCTCGCTCGCACGCCGGCTGAGGTTGTGACTTGCTTGCAGGTCTAACAGTCATTTGTTTCTGCAGATGACCAAGAGGATGTGGCTGAGCAACGAGCCACAAATCCAGATTTTACCAGGACCAACAACGGGACCGTGAAGGATTTGGCTACGAGGCCTACAGGTAGAGTAGTAGAACTGTGTTCACCTTGGAATTGAGTTTTGTTCCTCACCTTCCTGTTTGTAACACAGACCGTTTTTGTTCTCGTGCTGTCTGTGTCGGTATACAGAATGAAGGAGGTGAAATACCCAAAGATGGAGTAGTAAATGCAGATCAGGAGTTTGTCCATCACTTGCACTGGGAGGCGCTGCGTGTGCACTATCCTACTCCTCTCCTTACCTTCCAGCTCCACCTCCTTGCCCCTTTTACTCAGAGACTTCATAAACCTCTCCCTGTTCACTGGTACTGTTCCCACCCCTTTAAAAACAGCCATCATCACTCCAGTCCTTAAAAAAAACTCTCCCTGACCTGGTCATTCCTGCTCTCAAACTACTGCCCCATCTCCAACCTTTCCTTCCTCTCCAAGGTCCTAGAACGAGTCGTTGCTTCCCAGCTTTGCTCCTTCTCGCGCCACTACTTCATGAACCCCTCCAATTGGGTCCACAGCACAGAAACAGCCCAGGTCAAAGTGACAAATGACATTCTGTCCATCTTCAACCAGGGCTCCCTCTGCCTCCTCGTCCTCCTTGACCTTCACTGCCTTCGACACCATTGACCACTCTATCCTCCTCCACCACCTCTCCTCTGACCTCAACCTCCACAGCTCTGTCCTTGATTGGTTCAGATCGTATCTCTCACACCGCCTCCACTTCATCTCCATAAATGGTTTCTTCTCCAGCCCTCGCACCATCTCGTGCAGTGTTCCTCATTGTTGGGCGGGCCTTCTGCCACTCTACCCCCACCCTCTGGTGCTCCATCCCGCCGTCCATCCACCATGCCCCCTCCCTTGCCTCCTTCGAGACCCATCTCAAGACCCTCGTCTTCGACCGTACTTTCAATCACCTTCCTCCACCCTCCCCAAACCCGACCCCCAGCTCGGGTCCGAAACCCTAACTGTCCAGCGCCTAGGGACATCCTCCTGACGTGAGAGGCGCTATACAAATGTGATTTTGTTGTTGTACACGCTGAGAACAGGGAGCTGTGTGTGTTCAGTGTAAACACCGAGAAGTGGGAGACGGGAGAATTTGATTTAGACAGTGCTAAAATGCTGTGTTACTCCTGTAGGTGGGCTGGGCTTGCTGGGAGCTTATGCAGACAGTGATGAAGAGGACAGTGCAAGTGGAGAGGTGCAGGAGGTGGAATCAGCAGCCAGCAAACCTGCGGACATTGATAGCACACTGGCCAACTTCATGGCGGTGAGAATTGAAAGTCGAGCTGGATCTGTAGAATGGGGTGTCTGTGTCAACTCATTTATCTCATGCTGTCTGCTGGGTGTGATGATTTCTGGGGTGGGGTTACTGTTGAATGCAGTACAGTGACCGGAATATGTGCCAATGGTGGCTTCTTCATCTCCTTCTGGCCTGACCTAGGCATCCTGTACGTACATACAGTCTGTAAAACCATCGGCTCTGACATTTGCATAACTAACGATGCTTAGACCAGGGCTGAGTGTGCTTTACTCTGAACCTCTGAGCAACCTTTGCCTATTGTGTCAGAGCTGTGAGATAATGTTTCCAGGCATGTATCGGGCCACAGCTGGTGGGTTGATTGAACGGTGGAGATCAGCCCAGAGACGTCAAATCGATTGATTATGAAAGCTGTGACCTTGTTGCTCTTCTTCTTCCTCAATTGGTGGGGGAGAGTCCTGGAGTCCACTGCTGGGGATGGGGGGAGGGGAGAGTGAGAGCCCCTGGACACTGAAAGGGGAGAGGGAGAGCCCCCTGGTCACTGCAACAACAACAAGATTACATTTGTATAGCGCCTTTCACGTTGGGAGGTCGTCCCAAGGTGCTGGACAGTGTACATCATCTCAGACTCCAGCTGGGATCGGGGGGGTGTCCAATGGCATGGTCAAAGAGGAAGATCTTGAGGTGGGACTTGAAGGAGGCTAAGGAGGGGGCAAGGCGGAGTGATTGGGGGATGGAATTCCAGAAATTGGGGGCAGAGAGTGAGGGAGAGCCCCCTGGACACAGAGTTGGGAGAGAGGGAGAAGCCCCTGGACACTGAGGGGTGGGAGAGAGGGAGAGCCCACTGGACACTGCGGTGAGGGGATAGAGGGAGAGCCTCCTGGACACTAAGTGGGGAGCGGGAGGGACGGTGCAAGTCTCTGGGTGGGGAGAGAAGGGAGAATCCCCTGGACACTGAGTGGGGGGGGGAAGAGAGATCCCTGGACGGTGGGGTGGGCTGTGGCCCTCCCGATGGAGATGTAGTGATGTGGAGTGGGGTGTAGCTGGTTGTAGAATCTCAAACCATCTGTTTATAATTGGGATTAGGAGATTGATGCAATCACAGCCCCAACCCCACCAGCTGCTGAAACACCGGCCAGACCCTCGGCATCCCCGGTTCTGACTCCCACACCTCCGCGGCCTGAACCCAAACCAGCAACTGCACAGAAACCAACAGCCAGTGCCACCGACAGCACGGGCAAGAGCGGTGTGGCAGCCACAGGCACTGGAGCTGACTGGCATTATGACACTCAGTACTCGCTGGCTGGAGGTAAGTGACACACTGTCACCCTGGGTTGGATACCGGAGCTGTGCCGTGAACAGCTTAATGTCAGGAGCAGATGCAGCGTGGCCTTCTGAGGCTGTGGCTAATGCATTGAGGCAGCCTGCCTGCAGCACATGTCATTGCCCGCTCAGCCTGTGAGCGAACATAATTTGCTGGATGAAAGGAGACCAAGGTTCGTCCAGTTCGCCTTCTACCATGCTGGCAGTCACTTGACATGTTATGCCCCAAACAATATACGGTGTCCCCACATATTATTTTCCAACAGAAATCTATCTAATTTGTTTTTGAAACAAACAACAGTAGAACATAAGAATTTGCTAGACAAAAGAAATGTGGGTCTCACAGACATGAGCGCTGGTGTAGACTTCTGTTAATCTGCCCCTGCCTATGTGTGAGTGCTGGTGCAGGGGGCTGGGTGTGAGCGCTGGTGCGGAGGGCTGGGTGTGAGCGCTGGTGCGGAGGGCTGGGTGTGAGCGCTGGTGCGGAGGGCTGGGTGTGAGCGCTGGTGCGGAGGGCTGGGTGTGAGCGCTGGTGCGGAGGGCTGGGTGTGAGCGCTGGTGCGGAGGGCTGGGTGTGAGCGCTGGTGCGGAGGGCTGGGTGTGAGCGCTGGTGCGGAGGGCTGGGTGTGAGCGCTGGTGCGGAGGGCTGGGTGTGAGCGCTGGTGCGGAGGGCTGGGTGTGAGCGCTGGTGCGGAGGGCTGGGTGTGAGCGCTGGTGCGGAGGGCTGGGTGTGAGCGCTGGTGCGGAGGGCTGGGTGTGAGCGCTGGTGCGGAGGGCTGGGTGTGCACAAGAACTAATGTATGCCTTGCTCTCTGTGTAGTTAATGTTGAGATGGGTGACTGGCAGGAGGTGTGGGATGAGAATACCGGCTGCTACTATTACTGGAACGTTCAGAGCAACGAAGTGACGTGGGAGCTGCCCCAGGACCTGGCCACACAGGTGCAAGGCATGCCTTACCAGGACAGGTGAGTGCCGCTCGGTGCAAGCATTCAGGCCTGGAATTGGAGTTGTGTTAGTTACTGTGCCGGCCGGGTCTTTCCATAGCTCCACCCTCTAACCTTTGCTTTGTGTTCTGTGTTCTGGGAAGCTTGCAGGATCGCTGTAAAATGTTTGTTTTTGAAAAGTGAAAAGTCGGCGAATGCTGGAACCTGCTGCTAACCTGAGCCCTGGTCCACGCGTGGCCACTGTGCGTCAGGCTCAGCCTCAGTATGGAAATCTCTTGTGGTGTCTGTATCCGGCCCGGGCCCCTGCTGTGGGCACAGTGCATTTGCTGCTTGTTGGGTTTGTACACTGCGTAGAACCGTTCCCTCAGCGGAGACTAAGGCAGGAGGCAAGTGAGTACATGAGGTCAAGGGCTGCCTCCTGTACATCAGCTGCTGAATCCCAGGTCCGAGCCTCAGCCTGTGCTAGAGGAACGTGCCTCTCTCACCTCCACCAGCTAGATTTACACATGAGTCAAAGCTTTGGAACAGGGCTTTAGTGTGTAACACACTCACTGCTGAGAGCCTTCAATCTGCTCCTATGTCGGCCAGGGTGTCAGAGTCACTGTCCATTCAGAAGGCAGTGAAGCTCTGGGAAGGGGATTGAAATAGGGGTGAGGGTGGGATGGATTAGCATGAGGGCAGGCTGCGTGGGGGCGGAGTCGGAAGTGGGGATGGTCGCTGTCAGGAAGCCATGTTTTGGGGCCGCGAGGTGGGCTGGGGGATTGTGGCAGGGAAACCTGAATTTCACTCATGTCTGAGTTCCTCACAAATGGAGTCGGAGGTGAGGATGGGAGAGAGGAGATGTGGGGGTCAGGGAGTGAGGGCTCCTGGATATGGTTGGGTCCCCTGGCAGGTCGTGTATACTGAGCACGGAGCCTGGGGTTCAGTACCCAGGTGTAAAATGCCGCGCTTCGTATTTTGTTGCGATCTTTCATCAAAGCCTGGCGACAGCCTGTGCAAGAGCCACACAGGAGAGGAGCATCTCACCCTGTCTTGTCTTTCAGCTCCGCGGTGTTGTCGGCAAGGGACGTGGAGTCTGGCTACCAGCCCCCGGCGGTGTATCTGCCCGAGCAGCCGGTGCCAAAACCAGACACCCGCCCCCTGAAGAAAAAGGTGGGTGGAGCAGCTTCGGTGGTTCAGAGCTATTCTGAGTTCACATCGTACAGTCTGTCTGACATTGTTCTAATATCAGGTCCTGGCAAAGCACTACACAGGTTTTACTGTTTGCAGGCAAATGCATCAGCCATTTGTGCACAGTCAGACTTACACTGTTCTATCTCAGGTTACAGTCAAGGGTATGCTGTGGCCCTCAAGAGGTGCTAATTAATGTGCCCTGTGGTTGTGTAGGATGTAAACGAGGGTATCTTCGCGCTGGCCAGTGAGAAGGAGGAACAGGTGGGTGTAGCAGCCTGTCTCTTGGCTCCGCTTATTCCTGAGGAGGTGAAGAAAGCCGAGGAGAAGTGGAGGAAGAAAGTCATCTGTCAGGAAGACCAAGAGGTGGAAGAAGGCAAGGAAGAGGACGGTGCTGGGGAGGGCGAAGAGGAAGGTGGGCAGGAGGAGCAGCCGAGCGGAACGGGGACAGGGCCACATTCCCAGGAGAGTGGGGAGGAGGCAGAGGAGGAGAAGGAAGAGGAGTACACCAGGGAGCTGGAGCTAGTGCTTGAGAGGAAGAAGGTAAGACATGAACATAGAGACTACACGGCCACGTCAGCAGCAGGGAGTACACAATCGGGGCGGTGAGGGGGTGGAATAGGCTGGTGACGTAACCACCCTGAGGGAGGCCTGCTTCTGCCAGGTTGTGTGGTTTGTGCGGTGCTGCAGTTTGTGAGGTGAGGTGGCGCTGTTTGTCTGCGCTGTGCTAACTGCTCTGTGTGTTGACAGGCAGAGCTCCGTGCCCTCGAGGAGGGTGATGCCAGCGTGGCGGGCTCGAGCCCACGCTCCGACTCCAGCCAGACAGTCCTGCAGGAGGGGCAGGTGTCAGACAGCAGCAAGAACCTGAACAGGAAGGGCAAGTGGCAGGCGCTTACTCGCATCCTCAGCCCGGAGCGTAACAGCATGTGTGAATCAGCAGAGCGCCCCTCCACCCCCGACAGCCTGCTCTGCCCTGAAACTGGTGAGTCCTTCATTTCTCTGCCGTTCCCACCACCCCCAGTCTCAGTGTGTGATGCAAAACAGCTCCGGGGCCCCAGGGAAGCTATTGTGAAAGTTCAGCCAAAAAGGGCCCAGGACATGTTGGAGACATAATAAAGCTCCCTCTACATTGTCTGTCCACACTCCAAGGTCAGGGTTAGAGACACAGTAAAGCTCCCTCTACACTTTGCGTCCGTCCACAAGCCCAGGCTAAGGTTAGACACAGTAAAGCTCCCTCTACACTGTCCGTCCACAGTCCACCAGTTGTGACTTGTGAAGTGTGTAGCTTTATTTACAAATGTCTACACTTCAGCCAATTCCCTTCCCTTCCACCATTTTCTGTGTTCTGTCCTGGGCCTGAGGTGCGCTGTTGTTGCCTGTAGTCCCTGAGAAGCTCAGCACTGACCCTGTGGAGACGGAGTCAGACACAGAGGGAGCAGCAGAAAAAGGAGCTGTTCCAAAGCCGCCTTTGGAAGAAAAAGAGGATGAGAAGCGTGAACTCAAGGTGAGCAATTGCCTGTCAGTCTGATGGTCTGTGTGGGTGGCACTGTACAGGATGATGTGGCACCATGTACAGGGCCGGGGGCGGGGGGGTCAGTGTGTACAGGGCTGGGGGGGGGTCAGCGTGTACAGGGCTGGGGGGGTCAGCGTGTACAGGGCCGGGGGGGGTGGGGCAGTGTGGGCTTTCAGATGGGAAGGGGGACAGCACAGATGGAGATGGGGTTCACAGAAGAGGCTGGCGGGGGGCTGCCAGACCGGGTAAGGTCTGCCCGGCAGGGGATGGGTCTTACAGACGGGGACACGGGGGCTAACAGAAGGGAGGGGGGCCCTGGGGCTGACAGACAGGGTGTGGTGGGGGGGCCTGGGGGCTGACAGACGGCGGGGGCGCTGAGGCTGACGGACAGGCTGGTGCTGACTGCTCACTGTTCTCAGTTTCAGATCGCTGAGCTGGCAAACACCCTCTCCAGCAAACTCGAGTTTCTTGGGATCAACAGGCAGAACATCTCCAACTTCCACTTCCTACTGCTCCAGATCGAGGTCTGACCATCTGATTCCTATGTGGGGAGGGGTGCCAAGGGGGTTGGGTTTAGAGGCCTGACCACTGTAGGGGGAGGGGGCGGGCTGTCGCTCGGTGATTGTGGGGTGGTTATGAATATGGCAGATCTCTCATTGTGCGCAATTGGCTGCTGCGTTTTGCCCACAAAATACCGTCAATTCATTTTACAGTATATTCTGTGAAGCGCTTTGAGATGTCCCCATCCCCCAGAGGATCGAATTCAAGATCCTCATCCTTACCTACAAGGCCATTCACGGCCTCGCTCCCTCCTACCTCTCCTACCTACTATCCCCCCACATACCTGCCCGTACCCTCCGTTCCTCTGGCTCCGGTCTGCTCCACATCCCCCGCCCCAACCGCCCTACCATCGGTGGCCGGACCTTCAGCCCCGAGGCTCTGGAACTCTATCCCCCAGTGCCTTCGCCGCTTCCTCCCTTTCCTCCTTCAAGGCCGGTCTCAAGACCTTTCTCTTTGACCTTCAGCCTTCAGCTCCCCTCTCGACTCTCTACCCCCTCCTCGCTCCCTCCCTTCCCTCCCCTCATCCTGACCATTTCCCCCCCGCTCGGGTCCTGACCCAACTGTACAGCGCCTTGGGACGTCCTCCCAACGTGAAAGGCACTCTATAAATGGAATTGTGTTGTTGTTGTTGTCTTAATGACATGATAAGGCGCTGTGTAAGGATTATTATTCTTATTCGTGTTGAGTTGGTGTCTGAAGGCAGCACAGCCTTTGACTGAAATCTCTGCTTTCAGACTCGAATCACTGACTGGCGAGAAGGAGCACTGAATGGCCAATACCTCAAACGCAAACTGCAGGAAGCGGACTGTCAGATTAAACACTATGAATCTAATGCATCCCCAAAGGGCTGGTCCTGCCACTGGGACAGGTACGCACTCTTCTACTTTATCACCTTTCATCTCTGACACGTGACAACTGAACTGTGACCCCTCCCCATCTCCACATGACGACGTGACAACAGCAGTTACAGACTGGCAGCTGTGAGCGGCGCTAGGCTAGCTCCAGCAGGTGGATCATTCCATTCCAAGCCACAAATTGGACCCAGCCACTAAAATGTGAACCCAAATTTGGATTATTTTTTCTCTCGCTGAGGGTTGTGTTGATTGAGGATCTAGCCTGGCGTGTAGTGAGAGAGAGTGAGTAAGGGAGTTGAGTGGCTAAAGGGGGAGGGAGGGGGGAGAGCGCGTTGCCAGAAATGTCTGCGCTTTTCTGCAAATTTCGGAGATGGAGTCCTCGAGCCAGCCGCACACGAGGGGAAGAGGCTTATCGATGATCGCTGGACAAGACCAGGAAGATATCTCTGGGGGCGAGCAGGTCAGAATTATTCTTTTCCTACATTCCAGTTTACTGTCTATAAACATTACCTGCATCGTTTTTATTTCTTAAACAAAAAAATTGCTGTTTTATTTTTCAGCTTGGAGTTTGTGCCTCTTTTCATTATCGATTTACTTCCTTTGTTTCTAGATGGTCAGGTTTCAGATACCTGGCCTCGTGCCTTTGTGGAATTGAACTCTTGTTGGTATATTTACCTGGGCTCAGTGTGGCCCTCCCCCAACCCCACAATTAAATCCAAATTCTCTCCTTTTTTTTCAATATAAAAAAACATTTTATGCTCCAATTTCCCCCCCAACCCCCACAATCTCTTAACTCCTCACCCAGTGTTTTCTCTTGTCTCCGCTACCCTACATTGCTAGGAGAGCGGAGTGGGCCATGCGCTGGGAAGCACCGCTTCCCACCAGCGAAGCCTGGCTTTGTGTGTGGCAGCGTTACTTACCTGCACGTGTGTGGTCGCTGCCTGCGTGTAGTAAGCGTGTCCTTTCTGTCATGCTCTAGGGAGCACCGCCGTTATTTCTATCTAAACGAGCAGACGGGAGCCTCGCAGTGGGAGTTCCCGGATGTTGAGGACGAGGAGGATCCGGCTGAGAGTGACAGTAAAGCAAACGTGGGTAAGAGTGGGGCAGTAAACGACAGCTCCAACCCCCTGAGCCAGGCCACAGGTGAGCACATCCCACTGCGCACTCTCTCTTCTCCCACCCACCCCCCACCTGCCCCGGTCACAGGAAACCCGTGTGTTTTTTTTGTTTTGTTGGCCAGCCGGGTGGGTGTTTGACACATGCAGAAACCATCACCATGCGCTTTGGAGTATCCAAACCAAGCTAAAATTTCCATGCATCCCATCTACACATGGAAATCCCAGAGATAAACTGTCGCAATGGAATGCACACTCTCTCCCTGGAGGGCCACACCCGATTTACCTCATTCTGGAAAGAATAATAATAATAATCCTTGCATTTGATATAGCGCTTTTCACGTCGGGAGGACGTCCCAAAGCGCTTCACAGAATATACTGTATATTTGAGGGCGAACGCGGCAGCCAATTGCGCACAGCAATGTCCCACAAACAGTCGTAGATTGAAAATGACCAATTTATTATTGTTTTGGTTTTGGAGGGATTATTATTAGGCTCCGTGTGGAGTAAGGAAACTTGCCCAAGGTTTGGCCCTCTGCCTGGAATTGAACTCAGGTCTCTCACTTGCAAAGCGAGTGCTCTAACCACTGAGCTACAGGACTCCACTGAGTGCAGGTTGGCAAGAGCCAAGGCTTGGGGACCCCAGAGTTGGGGTAACTGCTGGAGTCTAACCAGCTAAAACCACATAGACCATTGATATTGCTGCCCGGCAAGCTTCCCCACTGCTTATCCAGCTGGGACCATCCTGCCCGTTAGGGCTTTGGATGCAGCAGCTGAGTGGGAGGATTCCCTGCCCCCAGTGACTGGACTGCCCTTCCAGGTCCTGCCGACGAGCCGGGCTGTGCCGTCATCAGCAGTGAGTGCCCAGCAATACTGCAGACCTGCTTGGCTCAGGAACCAGACTACCGAGACTGCCACAAGTGCTGGCTCGATGCCGACATTCCATTGCCAGGCATGTCACCTGGAGCCAGTTCAGCATCACGACCACCCCCACTTTCCTCCCAGATGTGAGGTGTTCGGTCCTACTTGGGATAAAGTGATTGGATGGGTTTACAGTGGGGATGGGATGTTGGGATCCGGGCGGTGATGGGGGGCTGGATGGTCATTGGGTGGGGCACGGATTCCTTACCTCTCACTGTTATGCTGTATCAGTTGCTGGGCACACGGAGATATCTGCCGAACAGAGCCCTGCTCCTGCCAGGAAGGCAGTCCCTCCTCCCCTCCCCCCACTGCCCCCTCAGCCTCCTTTACCCTTAGATCTGCCTCCCCCTCCCCCACCCCCACCCTCCTCACCCCCTCCCCCACCTCCCCCTCCCCCTCCCAGTGACGACGCTGATATTGAGGAAGTGGAGATGGAAGTGGAGACCAAGGAGCCCCCAGCACCAGGCACTGAGGAGGATTGTCTGGAGAGGGCAGCTCTCCTCCCACTGCCTCCTCTCCCTGCCACTCAGTCTGCAGCTCCCAGCAAGGTGAGAGCCGAACGCACACTGGGTATATACACATACACGCACATACTGGGTATACACACACACATACTGGGTACACACACACACACACTGGGTATATACACACACACACACTGGGTACTCATACACACACCGGGGTACACACACACTGGGACATATACAGAGTTGAGTGATGGTTTCCCTGTGGAATAGTTGCAGTGAATGTTGTGTTACAGAGCAATCCCGTCTCTCTACCCCTCCTGCTTCTCCCAACTGCCAAAGGCATCAAGAGGAAAGCAGCCTTGCTGAACTCCACACCCATCCCCCGCACAGTCACCATTGGGAGTAGTGCCGTGCTGTACACACAGTCAGCGACCGCCTCAGGTGGGTCTATGCTGTGGGCGAGGTGGGTCTGTGCCAGGCTAGGGGTTCTGGGTGGGGCTGGGGTTGTGCCAGGCTTGGGTTGGGGCTGTGCTGGGCAAGACATGGGGGCAGGGTGTGTACTGGGTTAGGTGTGGGGCGGGGCCTGTGCCAGCAGGGGATGGGGGCCGGTGTGTGTGACGCTGCTTGTTGTCCTGCAGGTCCCCAGGTGATTGCGCCGTTGGTATCGTTGCCGCCGGTGCCCCAGGCTGTGCCGGTGCAGCCCCTCCCTCTCACTCTGCCACCAACAAAGCTGGTGCCAGTGCCGGTAACATCTGTGCTCCCACAGCAGCAACTCACATCCATCCAGGCCGGTCAGCAGCCCTGCTCTGCCCCGGAGCCACCCTCAGTACCACAGCCAGCCGAGAGGAGCAAAAAAATGAAGAAAGACAAGGTATACTGACACCTTTTCTGTGGGGGGTGAGGGTGGGAGTGGATGTCAGTGCGTACCAGGACTCCACTGCTGTGAGTGTGTATGGCGTGCTGTGGGAGTGTTGTGGGGATGTATGTTGTGCTGTGAGGATGCAACATGTGCGGTATGGGGGTGTGTGATGTGTATTGTAGGGGTGTGCAGTGTGGGGGTGTATGATGTCCAGCGTGTGGGTGTTTGGTGTGCAGTGTGGGAGTATGCTGTGGGGGTGTGCGGCGTGAGAGTGTGGTGGGGGGTGCGGTGTGCAATGTGGGGGGGGTGCGGTGTGCAATGTGGGGGGATGCGGTGGGCAGTGTGTGTGGGGGGGGTGCGGTGGGCAGTGTGTGGGGGGGTGCAGTGGGCAGTGTGGGTTGTGTCTGGTGTGCTGTACTGTGGGGGTGGTGTATATGGTGTGCTGCACTGTGCGGGGGTGCAGTGGGCAGTGTATGGTGTGCTGTACTGTGGGGGGGGTGCGGTGTATGGTGTGCTGTACTGTGGGGGGACGGTGTAATCTGCGTGGCTGAACCTTTTTTTCTGCAGAGCAAAAAGAGCAAAACGAAGATGCCGTCGCTGGTGAAGAAGTGGCAGAGTATCCAGCGGGAACTGGACGAGGATGAGAACTCCAGCTCCAGCGAGGAGGAGCAGAGGGGAATCCTGGCCCAGAAACGCATTGATGAGTGGAAAGCCCAGCAGCTGGTCAGGTCAGCACAGGGGAGAGGGAGAGGGAGCTGGGGGTGAGGCATGGCCAATGTATAGGAGTTGGCGGAGATTGGAGAGGGAGGGGTCTGGGTTGGACCTCACACACCCACTGACTGCCCCCACACTCGAACTCTATTCCTCTGCCTCAATTTGCCTTACAATTTTTGCTGTAATTTATTGTTGTTGTTCGATCCCTAACGTGTCTGTGTGTTTCCCTCCTGCAGTGGCCGGGCTGAGAAGAATGCTAACTTTGAAGCACTCCCAGCAGATTGGCGAGAGAGACTGAAGAGGCGGAAACTGGCCCAGAGCTCCTAACGCCTACACCTTTTCTACTGCAAACACTTTCATCCATTCACAGTCTTTCAATATGTGTCACCCACAGAGACAGGGGCCCATGGCAACGGGGGTGGGGTGTGGGGGGTTGGTCAGGGGGACAGTGTGAGAGGGATGTCTGGGGTGGGGGCCAGTGTGAGATCGAGGCTGGTGGGGGTAGTGTGATGAGATTGAGGCTCCCGGGGGTAGGGTTGCTGTTGGTGCAGGCCGGGGGCTGATTGCCATCTATAATAAGGTTCAGACATTGAAAGGTCTAATAGTGACAGAGTCTGACCTGTGGCCACTGCCTGCGTTATGGTGTCTGAACTTGTACATTTGTATATAAAACATCAATAAAGTGATTTTTAACAATTCTGTGCTTTGCTCAATGTCTGAGACTGCCTGTGGATGAGGGGCTGAGGGTAACGGACTCATGTCTCCCACCACAGCCTGCCTCCCTGGACCAATGTCTCACTCTCTGTGTT